GGCAGCTCTTCCTGAGCTTCAGACTAGCGACAGGTTTCCTGTGAGGCACAGACAAAGGAGAGATTAGAATCTGATCTCACACTAGAGACAACTAAGATTCTATCAGTAACAGAGGTTCAGGTAGCTAACCAAACTAAGATCAACACTGCGGCGTGGAAGCAAGGTCTGGCAGGAGCTTATAAAGGGAAGGTCTCTTAATGAGTAGATGGAAATCAGGTGTGCTGGAAGACTCCAGCCCTAGGAGATCCACGGCGCACTCTGCTGGAGACAGAGGGTAATCTCCAGATCCCAACAGTAACTCCAGCCCTAAGAGAAAATAACAAGAGACAGAAGAGGATCCTCGGCGCCCTCTGGTGGGCAAGCCTGAGGATCCCAACAGAGGCATTTCCTCTACTGTTTGTCGCAGCTGGAAATAGATGTTAGCGTTTTTTAAGTATGTGGTACAAACTGTAGGCACCAGAACAATAAAAGCGAGCATATTTTGCCGACAGGTTTCAATATTTTAAGTTAATTTAGGCATTGATAAACTGTTTCAATTTAGTGATCATAGTTCTCGGCATCAGCAGTGCTGTGTCCGTCTCCCTGCTAGCTCTCCGATGAGCTTCTCTCATTGGCTGATGTGGCGCGTCCAGCAGCAAAATTTTAATTTTTCAACTCCACCACTTCTGCTGCTTGTGAAGGGAAGTCATCCTCAGCAGATGGCCACTCCCACTGAGTCTGGTTCTGCTGGAGGTGTCTTCCTGTTAAAGGGGAGTTTTTCCTCTCCAATGTCACTACAAGCATGCTTGGTGTGAGGGATTGCCTTTGAATCATTGAGTTGATTTCTGAATTCCTTTTTGCTTTATCTGTATTTTGTTAGTTTCTCTCATCTTTCTGTTTCATTTTCACTCTTCAGATCATCCATAGTCACAGCTGTGGCACATGAATCTAATTAGACTCGCCTGTTCTCTCATCCTCTTTAGTATTTTTACTCTCACTGTACTTTCTTTCTTTGTCAGATCTGTTTTCCTCCTCATATCTCATTAATTGTACACCTGCTTGCTTTTCCTTCTACATCCTATGTCTGCCTTTGGAGATCTCTATTAATGAACAGCCTCCAACCTTATCTGGTCTGCCTTCTCAATGTGGTTTTTGGTCCCAAAAACAGAACCTTGAAAGAAGTTTGCATTTTTGACCTTTTCTTAGTGGTTTATATAAGTAAATAAATGCAAATAAATCTAGAACTTACCACTGTTTACTATTAATTCAGTGGGTAGTGAAATCAGACTGAGTTCAGCTAAGAGCAGCCTTGACACTCTGACAGCCTTGAAGCCATGACATTACTGTCTGTCAGCTTTTCTTTGAACGCTGAATTATTAACATTCGGTAAAATAAAGCTTCAGGACAGAAAATCAGTCAAAGCTACAAAAGTTAAAACTGGTCTGCTCCTTCCAGCAAAGCTGAGCAGCACTAAAAAGGATGGAAACACAAAAATTTCAGACTCTTTTTCTCCTTTCAGCCGTAACAATCAAAGATGTCTAATTAATGTAGAGCTCATGGTTTATATTGTAAGGAACAAAACATTAATAGCATAAAGTTCTTTCTGCCACCAGCAAAATTAAGCTTCTTGTATCTATACAGGGTTTCTGCGGGTCATTAAAAATCATTAAAAACTCATTAACTTATTATTTTTTCAAATTAAGGCCTTAATTGGCATTAAAATTCATTGAATGTGAATATCATGGCATTAAAATGCCTTATAAAAGAAAATAATAATAATTTTGTCAAACAAGTGGCAGGAAAACGAAAAATTCGGGACATGGCTGCAGCCTGTCAATAGTAAAGATTACGAAGGATTTGGCCGTGTTCATATATATATATATATATATATATATATATATATATATATATATATATATATATATATATATATATATATATATATATATATACATACATTATTAAAGGAATAGTACACCCAAAACATGATTAGCCTTCATTTTCTACTTACCCCCATGCTGAACAACACTCTGAAGTACTTTTTTGATATCTCAAATGCATCTGGAGATCTGGGAGGCTTCTTGCTGTCTGCTGACATTCAAATAATGGAGGTCTATGGCGCCGGAGGCAGAAAGGTCCATAAAAGTCCACAAAAAACGTGTCAATATTCCTCCATACTTCTCGTCCAATGTATTCCAAGTGTCCTGAGTGGGTAGCGTGCAGAATTTACTCGAAACGAAGTCATTTAGAATGTTTTTCCTTCGTTGTTTCTTTCTTTGCACAGGTAAACAGCACATTTCTTCTTCTACGCTTGCATTATCGGCAGAGCAGACGCTGAATGCGCACTTTCATCTGGTTTGGTCTGCCGGCTTCCGTAGCATCGTGAACGTGCATGTGCGCGCTTTCAGGAAATCCTATACACTACTGTTTATGCTCTAAAAACATTCTAAATGACTTCGTTTCGAGTAAATTCTGGATGCTACCCACTCAGGACACTTGGAATACAATAAATCAATTATCTAATTACTGCATAAATCATGGAACTGAAAGTTGTGTTTATTATAATAGACATTCCCTCTCCAGTGACCAGTTTTACCATAATCCTCTAAATGTTTTCTTTTTTTTTTTTCATTTGTTTAGTGATGTAGGGAACTGTTAATGTTCATGCATCCAAATACAATCTTTCTTAGAGGATGAGTATTAAAATCAAACCAACTGTTTTCTGTCATTAAATAAATTATCTGGACTTGTCCTCATTAATGATTCGCTGTAAGACTGAGGTTCTCTTTGGTGAGCTGCCAAAACTACCTGGACTGATGCCCTCTGTGATTCACACCCAGCGTTAGCAAAAAGCTGACGGATAATTCTTCACTCGCACACATCTTCCACCTTCACAGCTTAAAGAGATAATAACATTTTCTGAATAATTCATTGCTGCATTGCTCTTGAGAAACACCATGATGTTGCAGTCTTCTCACACATCTGTTTGCCCAGTGCTTTGAGCCAAAGTCAGCTCATGAAATGCATTTTGATTTTACAGCGATAGTGTTTTAATAGTGGTCGCCCCTCGGCGCATTGTGGCTGTTAAACAGATTAGCAAACAGAAGGTGCACAGCTGTGATACATTCCTGGATGTTGGCTCATTGAGAGTTTGGAAGGGACGCTGGTACTTTAGAAAAAAGGCCACTCCTTTTGCCGGCCTTTTAGTTGATGAATCACAGCCTGCTGTCCTGTGGTCCAGACATAAAGCAACGCAACCCCTAAAACACTACTGCTACCAGGGTTTAACAGTTATAAACCAGATATTTATTTAAACTGCAAAAAAACAACATTTACACATTAACTTTAGACAAAATGTTTCCTCTGTCAGTCATGTAGGATTAGCAAATTTATTTATTTTTGCTAAATGTCTGAATGATGAGATCTTGTTTCTTTAGAAAATATTTTAATTATTTATTATTTAATTATTTATTTCCTCAAATTCAAAAGTTTATACTATTTACTCTTTCATTAAATCATTTGGGAAAGTCTGGAAGATTATATCAAGTTTTTGAAACCTCTAATAAATTCACAATTTTGTTTGAGATCATAAAAGATCATAAAATAAAGAGATTTCAGTAAAAAAAAATATATTGGCTCATTAGAAGTCTGTGTAATTCTTAATTTTCTGTGGAGCCACTATTATCTATTATATATATATATATATATATATATATATCAGTATAAACAGAATGCAAATGTACAGATATCAGGGAAGTGCATTCAGGAAGATGGGATCTGTGTTCTCATGATAAATAAGTTCTGTAAATATGTGAATCAATCCTAGATGTTGTAAGAAGTTTTGTTATAATAGGGAGGGAGTGAAATGTTATAATATAAGATGCATTGGTTTTTAGGGTTATAGAAAATGTTTTGGCAACATCTCAAGATATTGGCCTTGAAGTTTAAAGCTTGGAAACTATTTGGCTTTTCTAGATGATGATCATAGCGGCAAATTAGTCAAGTGTTTTAAGGGCAACAAAGTTTTAAAGTCATGAAGTCTTGAACTCATTCCCATGCAACACTTGTTGACAGAGCAGGAAAATGTGTTTGTGACCAAGACGCCAACAGACCTGACCCATTTATATCAGAATGGTCTGGAAGAATGGTCCAAAATTCCAGTAAATTAGAGTAAACTGCAAAAAACATCTAGAAATAAGTAAAAAAATTCTTAAATTAAGTGTATTTACCCTTAATTTAAGCAGGAAAATAAGATGACCTGGCAATGGAATGAGTATTTTTACTCCTAAAATAAGATAATTAGATAATATACACTTGAAATAAGATAAAGCAATAGTTTTTTTCTTATTTTAAATGTAAATTGTCTTGTTCCATTGGCAAAGTGTCTCACTTACCTCCTCAATTAAAAAAAAAATGCACTTAATCTGAGCAAAAATAACTTATTTAGATTTCCATTTTTTTGCAGTGTAGTAGCCATTCAAAAATTATTCTCACTTTCCTCGATGGGTCTTACGCTGGTCGCCTACAATTCCTTTTTATAACTATTTGTACTTATTATTTGTAAATAATACTTTCTGTCAGTGTCAGTGTAAACAAATATGCAACAGGGGGTCTCTCTAGTGCCTGGAATTTGGAGAGGATTTCACTGGGAGTTGCAGAGAAGTGGACTGCCATTTAGCAGGACCCTTATGAATGGCTAGTACTATATTGTTGGAAGCTTGCATAAGGAAGCTCAAAAAGTTGGACTTTAGGCCAGCAGTTTGGAGGGCAAATATACGAAATGCATTGAAGATTAGACTTTACAGAAGCCTTTAAAGAAGAGAAATGTCCCCACATTACTTTGCTGTTGTTTTTTCGGGTAAAAAATTATAATAATAATAATTTAAATAAATTCTAACCGACCTAAGATTAAAGGAGGATCGTACATCTGCAGGATTGTAAATGTAAAATAACAGATGATTTTTTTTTTTTTTTTTATGTGACAGGTTGTTAATAACTTTTTTTTTGTTCCTTCTCCATAGAGGACAAGAACCCATGTCATTTACCGCAGGCTGTGGGTCCCTGCCGAGGTCTGGTCAAACGCTTCTTCTTTGATACTGCGACCCAACAGTGCAAGCAGTTCTATTACGGCGGCTGCTTTGGCAACGCCAACAACTTCAGGAGCATGACCGAATGCCAGAGGAGATGTGAGAACCCAGGTAGGCAGGACCACACCCAGCGGTCAAACGCAGCATCCTTAGGTGCTCTTCAAAGCATTAGTCAGACCATCATATTATGCATACCGTATTTTCACGACCATAAGGCGCACCGTACTAAAAGGCGCAGTCTCAGTTATGTGTCCCATTTCTGTATTTAACACACACATAAGGCGCACCGGACTATAGGGCGCGTTTTTTATATACAGGTACAAGTCCTCTACTACCTTTAAATAGCTCTACTGCGTATTTAAAAATACAGCGGGGGCAAAACTGAGTATGACTGTGCTTTATTCATGTATTTATTACAAAGTATTAATCAAACCTGGCAGCTGGCCATGAGACAGACACATCGCAGATGACAGAGCGCTGTGATTACTCCTAAATTAACTTAAAATCCTGAAACCTGCCGACAGAATATCGGCATCCTGGTGCCTGCAGTTTAAATTATTTAGATGAAAAACACCTGCCAGCAGCCGCGGTGAACGAAAGGATTTCTACTGTCGGTGCACCGCTGGTATGTGGGGGTCTGAGCGCCTCCGACAGAAATAGATATTCTGGATGAACTGACTGCAATTATGAAGTTTTCAGGTGGACTTTCTCACTTAAAAACATATGAAAACTACTTTATTCCCACTGATCACAGCAAATATAGCTGCAAGATTAAGATTATTTAGATGAAAAAACACCTGCCAGCCACCGCGGTGAAGAGGAGGAGACGCGCCCAGAGGCTGCTGTTGAATTAAGTTTTCAGGGAGAAAAATACAGCGGGAGCAAAACTGAGTATGATTGTGCTTTATTCATGTAGGCTATTTATTACAAAGTATTAATCAAACCCATCAAAGTAATCATCCTCTGTTTCTGAATTAAACAGCTGCGCTAAATCAGACATGCCAGTTTCCCCTTCTTCGCTGTCAGTCATTTTCCGTGCAGCGCAGCTCCTCAGAAATAATGCCGGCTTTTGCAAAAGCTTGAAGAACAGAGCCAGCAGACACTTTAGTCCAAGCATCTACAATCCATCCGCAAACGGTGGCGTAACTTGCCCGGCGCTGCCTTCCACTTATCCTGAAACTGTGGTCTCCGTCTGTCATCCATCGCTCCCACGCCGCTCGCAGCCTTACTTTGAACGGCCGCTTCACACCGATGTCGAGCGGTTGAAGTTCCTTTGTCAGACCTCCCGGGATAACGGCGAGCACAGCGTTCATTTGATTCACCTTTTTTTTCACATCGGCTGTGAGATGGGCACGCAGCGATGGTGATGCGTGGAAAAAAACACCTGGTCTCCTCACATAGGCTACACCTCCCTCAGCCACGCTTTCATCATCTCCTCATCTATCCAGCCTTTTTCATTTAATATAATGTCATCAGAGCGCTGTGTCTGTCTCGCTGTCAGCTCCCAGATCAGCTTCTCTGATTGGTTGATGCGGCGCGTCCAGCAGAAGAACTTCAATTTTTCCATCTCGAGCAGCAGCAGCGCGTTGGCGGTGCGTCAGATGCTTAAACGATCCCGACGTGCTGCACCTGCGGCTCAAAACGCGCTGCAGGACCTTTTGCTGCACCTATACGCGCGTCAACCATTGACTTTGCATGTAAACTCGCTGCTTCTGCTGCACCTGCTGGGTCCGGTTCACACCGATGTCGAGCGGTTGAACAGCGAGCACAGCGTTAATTTGTTTCCCCACGTTTTTCACATCAGCTGTGAGATGGGCACGCATGGAGTTACATATTAACAGCGATGGTGATGAGTGGAAAAAAAACACCTGGTCTCCTTACATTCAGCCACTCTTTCATCATCTCCTCAATGAGGTGGTCTCAAAAGTCGCAGTTACAACACACATAGGGCGCACCTCACCATAGGGCGCACCGCACATTTTGAGGGGAAAAAAAGACGTTTAAGTGCGCCTTATAGTCGTGAAAATACGGTATGTCCACCAGGTTTCATAGGTGGTTTCTAATCTACATCTCAGCCCTGCAATTAAAGCCGCTGAATGAAAATTAAGGATTTTATTTCTCTTCTTAACCGAAAAGCACGGTGACAGCATTTCAGAGAAGCGGCATAATCAAAACAGTTCAACCTCAGATAATTAACTTGGTGATGAATTTTCAACTGAGCGCGAAATCACTTTTCACTTTGATTTAGATCATTTTTAACTGACCGGAGCGGCCTCAATAACGCTTAACTTAAAGGCATAAGGGAGAAGCAATTTGCAAACTGAAATTGTTGAACAATAAAAGAAGCAAGTTGCTCAACTGTAACTATTTCAGTCTTTGCTGTATAGAAAAATCAATTAGTCCTGGACATTTACACTCTTTTTAAAAAGGACAATCATTTTAGGCCCGCGGCTTGATGGTAGACTGAATTAAATAGATTTAAGGGGTACTGCTTAATATAATCTGCAAATTTACTGCCTCTAAGTTTTGAAACTAACTTGAAAAAGCCTGAAAGGTCCTCTCTGCTTTCTTTTGTTTCCTTTTTATAGATGCTCCTACAGTTTCTACAGAAACCCCTGTGATCACTGTGAGGAAACCCATCATGGTCCAGCCAGACATTGTAAAAGGTAACATTCTGATATATAAATGAAATTAAATAAAATTAAATCTTCACCGGTTTTGATTCTTTGAATTGTAACTTACTTTTATAAATAGTTATTCTCTCCTAATTAGAAATTTCTGCTTCTGGTTAAAACCTCTTAAAGACAGTTGTATCTTTTCATAATACTATCAATTATTTATAGCTCTCCAAATGAGTTTGTACAACTATAAAAAGGAATGACACCTTCAACTGTCTGTTTTTAGGTTTGTGAAAATCTGCCTCCTGCAGCAACCTGCTGCTCCTACAGGCAAATAAATTAAAAGGTTTGCTTTGTAAGACTGTAAATAAGGCTGTAATTTGCAAAGAGCAAAGCTTTGTAAATCAATTTGACTGAATGACTTTACGACTAACTTCATTGAATTATAAAAATGGTACCTCATAAAATACACGCTGAATGGGCTGAGTTACAAAAGTCCGATCTTTGCATTTTATGGTGTAACCTATCACTCTGACTTAAATCTCTAAATACTTGTTGTCAAAACAGTGTTTCCTGCAGATGATAGTATTTCTCCAGGTTGATTCGTGAAGTTTAGGGAGAGCTGCAGACACACTGCAATCATTCTTCTCAGTATGTATGAAGAGATGCTCTGGCGGTCCCATAAAAATGCCTAATTTAGCAGCCGCTGAGTAAACAAAGAAACCTTCAGCAACTTTGTTGATGTTGAAGCCCCCTCATGGGGTCTAATAGTTAACTAGTGATGCTTCATCCTGCCAGTTGAATTTATGAAATGAATTAGGAGTAATCTATTTCTATTATTCCTAAGGGTAACATTAACAGCATCGTCAAACAGGCTAGTCTGAAATGTGCCTAAAGACTGGACTCATTTTGATAGGACTTAGATTTGCAACTCACTCTGTGATTAAAATTAGGAGAGTCCATTTCACTTATTGAGCCTCAATTCACAATACATTATCCCCATGCACTTTATTCAGACAATTCAATCAGATTATCCATGCAGACTGGTTAAAGGTTTCTTAAGGAAACCAGGGTACCCGCATACACTAATTGACCATGCAGGATTCACTTCTCCTGGATGAACATGGAGCAACAGTCGTATACTGTGTTGTTGACTCAACAGCAATCCCTTACACAGAGCAAGCAGGCAGCGATAGTGGAGCAAAAAGACACAGTGTGAGCAGCCTTATGCCGAGGCCAACTGGGGGTTCAAGCAGACAGAAGCAAACATACAAGAAGAACGTAGAAGCACTGATTCATAAACCTTTCATATCTTAGAAAGGTAACGATAAATTAGCTCCATAGCTAGCTCTGTTTAGGAAAGAAACAGTTAAGCAGATTAACTATGAACCAGTTTTCATGTAAAAAAAAAAAAAAGAATGAAAAAGAGCATATACAGTTAGACACAGTAAAAACTGATCCTATATTTATGTCTAGGAAAGTAACAGGACAATAAACTGAAAAACAGGCACACGTCATAACCTAAAGTATAATGGAAGTTGTTGATGGCAGAACCCAGCTGATGCTAGAAAAAAACTAGAGAACATAAATTTAAAACTTAAATGAACAGATAATGCAGAATTAGAATAATGTAGAGTGAGGAAAAGTGGCTTTGTCCTCCAGCACCCTAAGCCTATAGCAGCATACCTATAGAGCTAGCTTAGGATAACTTGAACCAATTTAACAAAACAGAGAGAACATAAAGTTAGAACTCTAATAAATAAATACAAATTAATAAGAAGTAAACATGTTTTCCAACAGGTGGGTTTCTGCACCATCCTGGGAAAGCTGACATCTTCTACATATAATCATAAAAATCTGTTGAAGTTAATCTTTTTTTTTTCAAGTCAAATAGTTTGGATTAGGTTTGCTTCCTGTTACATAGATTTCCGTCTTACACAACATTACCATCTTACAAATGTTGTCATAACAGACTGAAAAGGAAAGCAAACTCAGATATTTGTTCATTCATTCATAAGTTTTTGGGGTTTTTTTAATCTTTGCAGAAGTACGGATTCTGAGTGAACCTCAAGTCCAGCTAAATGTCTCTACTGAACCACAGAATGGTAAGGAAATATTTCTTTATGATTGGTAATGGTAAGGCTATTAATGTATGTAATGATGTATTCAAACATCCAACTGCCATGCACGTGGGCATTGTCAGTTTAACTATAGCTCTGGTGAATTTCAATGGTGAAGTCCTCTGGAAATCTTCAATAATTATTGTTGATTGCAGATGTGTCTAGTAGTTCCCACTGATTTTGCTCATAAAGCAGGAAGAATGGCGCTAGGCTTACCGCACCGTTACATCACTGCCGGACGATTTCAGGAGGGAGGGGTCACTATATTTGGGCAAAAATGGCCGCTCTATTTTTTCACTGATTGACCCCAAATTCATTAAATCACCGCAAACATATTATTTTTAGGTATAAATAATGATCCATTGAGTATTTCTTGCTGATGAAATTAATGTTTTTTATTTAGTGTTAGAACTGTTAAATTTTTTTACCTATATGTAGGTCACCACAACTGTGTAGAAAAGTTGTTAGTGAGCACATTATAATCAGGTAGGGGAGGGGGTGAGTGGGCCCCTTCATTTTTTGCTGGCCCCCCTCGAATAAAATGGGCACTGTTATTTTTCCCTTAGTTAATTTATCAGCAGTTTTTTTTTCACTCAGTTGGTCACTGCTTAACTAAACTAAACTGACTATTTTGGGTATTATATATATATATATTTTGGGAACCATTGTATTTTACTTTTTCTGTCCAACTGTTCTGAGTTTTATTCTGTTGTATGGTTAATATAGTGAGTAAATAAATGCAGCTATAAATAAATGCAGAATACTGTGAAACAGCCCATTGCATGATGGCTTTACCAGCAAACCCTATGAACATTATGCCATAGTTAACTAGTGATGCTTCATCCTGCCAATTTATGAAATGAATTAGGAGTAATCTATTTCTATTATTCCTGAGGTTAACATTAACAGCATCATCAAACAGGATAGTGTGACATGTGCCGAAAGACTGGATACATTTTGATAGGACAAAAAAGGAAAGCAAACTCAGATATTTGTTCATTCATTCATAAGTTTTTTTTTTTTTTTATCTTTGCAGAAGTACGGATTCTGAGTGAACCTCAAGTCCAGCTAAATGTCTCTACTGAACCACAGAATGGTAAGGAAATATTTCTTTATGATTGGTAATGGTAAGGCTATTAATGTATGTAATGATGTATTCAAACATCCAACTGCCATGCACGTGGGCATTGTCAGTTTAACTATAGCTCTGGTGAATTTCAATGGTGAAGTCCTCTGGAAATCTTCAATAATTATTGTTGATTGCAGATGTGTCTAGTAGTTCCCACTGATTTTGCTCATAAAGCAGGAAGAATGGCGCTAGGCTTACCGCACCGTTACATCACTGCCGGACGATTTCAGGAGGGAGGGGTCACTATATTTGGGCAAAAATGGCCGCTCTATTTTTTCACTGATTGACCCCAAATTCATTAAATCACCGCAAACATATTATTTTTAGGTATAAATAATGATCCATTGAGTATTTCTTGCTGATGAAATTAATGTTTTTTATTTAGTGTTAGAACTGTTAAATTTTTTTACCTATATGTAGGTCACCACAACTGTGTAGAAAAGTTGTTAGTGAGCACATTATAATCAGGTAGGGGAGGGGGTGAGTGGGCCCCTTCATTTTTTGCTGGCCCCCCTCGAATAAAATGGGCACTGTTATTTTTCCCTTAGTTAATTTATCAGCAGTTTTTTTTTCACTCAGTTGGTCACTGCTTAACTAAACTAAACTGACTATTTTGGGTATTATATATATATATATTTTGGGAACCATTGTATTTTACTTTTTCTGTCCAACTGTTCTGAGTTTTATTCTGTTGTATGGTTAATATAGTGAGTAAATAAATGCAGCTATAAATAAATGCAGAATACTGTGAAACAGCCCATTGCATGATGGCTTTACCAGCAAACCCTATGAACATTATGCCATAGTTAACTAGTGATGCTTCATCCTGCCAATTTATGAAATGAATTAGGAGTAATCTATTTCTATTATTCCTGAGGTTAACATTAACAGCATCATCAAACAGGATAGTGTGACATGTGCCGAAAGACTGGATACATTTTGATAGGACAAAAAAGGAAAGCAAACTCAGATATTTGTTCATTCATTCATAAGTTTTTTTTTTTTTTTATCTTTGCAGAAGTACGGATTCTGAATGAACCTCAAGTCCAGCTAAATGTCTCTACTCAACCACAGAATGGTAAGGAAATATTTCTTTATGATTGGTAATGGTAAGGCTATTAAATGTTGGATGTCTTTAAACCCTGGCTAAGGTCAGTCACCCTCTGCCAGGAATCTGTCACATTGTAATAACTGCATCTCATTCATCTATCATGAAAAGGTTGTGATGGTAACAACTAGCTGATGAGTCTGCAGCTTCTTCTGCAGCTAAATCTCAACTTTTTGAGATGAGATGCAGAGAAGATGCTTCTTCTCATGTAATTAGAGGTCAAAGTAAGCTAAAAACTTTAGCTCATTATAGCTAGTGATTAATGTTCATATTTTCTCATTAAGAGGTGTGTTTGATTTATCAGCTAGGGATATTTATGGATTGTGGGCTGTTATTGATCTTCACAAGTTGTGCATGGGAGCTAAACTTGATAATAATGAACCAAGATGTTTACCAAACTAAATGCTGTCTTGAAAGATAAAAATCAATTTAAAAAGACACTTTAAAAAGAAAGGAAAAACTGGTTCACCTCAGAAATTCAATTTTCACATAAGTGAAATAAGTGAGCTTAACACCTATTAAAATATACATATTTATTCTTCTAGTGAAGGCATTATAGCCTCAAAACATTTATGAATATCACCATCCATCCATCTTCTCCAGCTCATTCCATCATGACAGGTCGCCAGTCTGTTGCAGGGCAACACAGAGACACACAACCATGCATGCACATTCACAGACAATTTAGAGAAGCCAGTTAACCTAACAGTTGTGTTTTTGGACTGTGTGAGGAAGCCGGAGTACTTGGAGAGAACCAACGCATATACAGGGAGAACATGCAAACTCTATGCAGAAAGATACTGAGCAGAGAATTGAACCCAGAACCTTCTTGGAACTTTTTTTTGTCATTTTACCCGATGTATTCCAACATCCAACTGCCATGCACGTGGGCATTGTCAGTTTCACTATAGCTCTGGTGAATTTCAATAGTGAAGTCATCTGGAAATCTTCAATAATTTTTGTTAATTGCAGATGTGTCTAGTAGTTCCCACTGATTCTGCTTGTAAAGCGGGGAGAATGGCGCTAGGCTTACCGCACCGTGACGTCACTGCCGGAAGATGGCAGGAGGGAGGGGTCACTATATTTGGGCAAAAATGGCCGCTTTTTATTTTTTCACTGATTGACCCCAAATTCATTAAATCCCCGCAAATGTATTAGTTTTAAGTATAAATAATGATCCATTGAGTATTTCTTGCTGATGAAATAAATGTTTTTTTTTAGTGTTAGAACTGTTAAATTTTTTTACCTATATGTAGGTCACCACAACTGTGTAGAAAAGTTGTTAGTGAGCACATTATAATAAGGGAGGGGAGGGGGTGAGTGGGCCCCTTCATTTTTTGCTGGTCCCCCCTCGAATAAAATGGGTACTGTTATTTTTCCCTTAGTTAATTTATCAGCAGTTTTTTTTTTCACTCACTTAGTCACTGCTTAACTAAACTAAACCGACTATTGTGGGTATATGGAACTATTGTATTTTACATTTTCTGTCCAACTGTTCTTAGTTTTATTATGTTGTATGGTTAATATAGTGAGTAAATAAATGCAGCTATAAATAAATGCAGAATACTGTGAAACAGCCCATTGCATGATGGCTTTACCAGCAAACCCTATGAACATTATGCCATTTGTGTGTCAGTAGAAGTAGAAAAATGTTGCATTAGCAGAACCGAGCTACAAACAGACAAATTATAGTCGACTGCCTATGGTGGTGACTAGGGATGCACCGATGCCGATATTGGTATCGGCATCTGGCCCGATACGACGTGTTTGTACTCGTACTTGTATCCGTAAATGTGTACCGATACTACAGGGCCGGATACTAGCATACATTTCCAGCAGCGAAGAAGACCGTAGTGTGACGTCAAGAACCCGCCAGTCAGAGTATAGAGAAGGAGGGAGCGAACACAAAAGTTAGCCAGTTAGCCCTGTTCGCTATTTGGAAATATTTCCAAGTGAACGAGGACGACAAAAGTAAGGCTGTTTGCAAAATATGCAAATCAAAGTTTTCAAGGGGAGGAACAAACCCTAATAGTTACAACACAAGTAACCTAATAAAACAGTATTTCTGTTTGAGCCAAATGAAAATAAAAAATTTTCAAATTAATTCTGAGGAGTTAATGGCACTTAATATTACTCGGTATCGGTACTCGGTATCGGCAAGTACTGAAGTTGAAGTACTTGTAATCGTACTTGGTTTGAAGAAATCTGGTATCGGCACATCCCTAGTGGTGACTGTGGATGAGTGGAAATAATAGAAGAATTTCTGGCAAATGAAAAACATGAAGTTTATTGTGAAGAAGTGTTCCTCAGATAATTGGAGGATTAAAAAAATGTCCTTTATGGTGACATTTGCCTGTTTTCTGCGATGCTATATAACTGTTTAATCTGCCACATTTGTTTAACTTTCAGCAAAGGGTAACAGTGTTGATCATTATTCAGCATCATTTTTTACTTAAAAAATGTAGATTATGACAGACATTTACTGCTGGGAGATAAGACAGCATGAAATAAAATCAGGTTTAGCAGGAGAAATATTTCATTAAAGTGTAAGCTCCATTTCTCACTTCCTCACAGTATCATGGAATGAGCTCCAACCTGACTTGAAGAGCACTCACTCACGAATGAACCATGTGCTGCCTGAAGAGTTGTAAAAAAAAAATGAAATAAACGTCACAGGGCAGTGATGCATGGATGGTAGACAGCCAGTAGGAGTGCTGCTGGTATGGGCAGTACAGAGTAGGAATAGAGTGCATCAGTGTCTCCCTCACACATCCCATCATCCACAAAAAGCCACTTATTAATTTTCTTGCTATTAGGGGAGACGGAGGACATTCCCCCTGCTGTCACCTTTCAAAGCTGTTTGGCGTAGCGGCTGGAGAGCACAAGGGGACGGGCTGCGGCTCCTGCAACACACTGAGAGTTATTACTCAAAAATTCAATTTCACTCTTGTCAAAAAATATTGTGAGGGTGAGATTCAGGTGGACCTGGTTTCTACAGTTTCAGCTTGTGTTTATTACTTCATTCAGGCTGAGATCTCTGGTATTTTACAAAAAAAAGGTGGTAGATGCTTTTTTAAAGTTCTAGTCTAAAATCAGTGATGGTATATTTTCAAATTACAAAAACTGAAACAAACTGAATATTTGCGATAAGATTTCCATTCATTCATTTAGAGGATAGAGTGACATCTTGTGGCTAAATGGGGAGAAATAGTTACTGCTGTATGGTCATTTCCCATCTGAGTTAATTCACTTTGCAGAGGGACAGGTTATTACCGAATGGAAAACATCTTAGACAGCTGCTGGTTTTCCCAGGAGACACCATCGCTACAGATTACACCCAAGATCTGAGTGTGAAGCTTAGAGAAATGACCCTTCAGGCCTCGGCTAGCAGAGGAATTAAGGGGAATGAAAGGACAGTGACCAGACACTTTGAAATTCAGAATGTTGTTAAGCATTGGTTTTTTATATCAGTTCATACAAGTTTAAACTCCATTATAGTTATATTTTGCCTTAATTGAGTCCAGCCAATATCTTTAAGTTCTAATCTCCTCCTTTCCAATATCTCTGCACCTTTTGCATAGAGAACAAATTGAATGGTCCTTAAAAGACTTTTTTCTAACCTGACTCATTTTTCTATTTCTCATTGAGATGAAGGGTGCAGTTATAGTTTTTAAAATACTGTAAATGGTAAATGACCTGTAGTTTCAGTATATAGCACTTTATTAAGTCTAAATAACCTTTTTCTCGTTCTAAATCAGTTTCCTTTGCTTTTAATTCCCTTTAGAAGATTCAAAATGACTCACTTATTGCTTATGTCCTTAAACCTAACGAATCAAAAACCCCAACGACCATAGAAACAAGCAAGAAGTAAAGAACATCCCAGTCTCCAAGAAGGTCAGGGGTAAGGTTCTGGAGAAATACAGTCTTAAAGCAGTGATAGCAGTGATAAACCACTAAAAAGACAGAGAAAAAAACTCCTCATCCCATGAAGCTGAGCTGTTTCATACAATGGGGAGTTATATTTCACAACAACAAAGCTGTCAGTCTACTGAGAACTAAGACTCATGGTTCAGGCAAACGAACATCAATCAGAGAGGTAACAAAGAGGCCAACTGTAACTCTGGAGGAGGAGGAAAGATTAACAGCCGACATAAGAGACGTCACTGTTCACCAGAACACATCAGAGTGGACTCAGATCCCAGAGAAAAAAAACACATAAAAAGGATTTATCAGGTCAGCATATATTTCTTGAAAACCTAAATATATATTTTTTTTGTTAAATTAGGAGTAAAATAAAAATAAATGATCAGTTTTAAAAGAATATAATATAATAAAGAATAATAAAGTCCATTTATATGGTTCCTAAAACTGGCTTTTATTTGGTCTTTTAAACAAAAGATCTTTGTTATCTCGAACAGTGAGAATAAAAATGAGCTTAAACAGGCAAGTACCAAACTGAACCTAGTTTTGTCTCACAATGAGGAGTCCTGAAAAACAAAATGATAACAATTAGCAATTTCCTTTATAATTAACGATGCAGCTTTGACTTTCAATTGAAAAAGCTTTTCTTAAACAAATTTAGGTCAAATTTTGCTGGGACATCAACAAAATGTTAAACATTATATATCATTTAAATAGTTTATGGTAATACAAAAATTCAGCCTTGGAAAAAAAAATTGAAAAGGGTTCTATTTATCAGTTCTAAAAAGATTTTACTCTGAAATAAAAAAGGTGTTTCTGCTAATGATTGATGCACACATCTGACATCTTAAAATTTATTTTAAAAATAATAATTGAATGTTAAACATCCCCTTCTTAATCAGTTTTTAACCAATGAATGAACAGTCTTGGCAATGAAAGTGAAAAAAATGTTTCGTTTTTGTATAAATTTTATGCGTGAGTCAAAAAGGGCAGCTGTGACTTTTAAATGAAAAAGCATTTCTATTATTACATTGTAATTTTCAAATGTTGATAATTTTCATGTTTTCAAATTAAATTTGGTCATTTTTTTGCAGGGAAACCTTTTTAAAATTAAATATAAACCATATTTGTATTGTTCATTTTAAATTATTTACAAATTAAGCAGTCTTGTCAAAGAAATTGAAAATGTAGTAATATTCAGTTATTTTTATATAAGTCACCAAATATAGCTTTATTTTGGAATTAAAAAGCATTTATAGTATCCATTTCAGATGGTTGAGTGTACATCATACTCAATGGGTGTTTCTTGGACATGTATATGTATGATGTTACTACCTTTGACTGGTGTATTAGATAGAGAAGACAGGTGTTGTCAGAGTTGACAGCTTACGTTTTTTCATAGGAAATACAAGGTCAAGATCTTGTTAAAATGTGATAGCCTGCAGAGGCGGGAGTAAATCTTTTCTGTCAGCTTATAAGAAGCATTCAGGGATCAATCTATTGCTTTATCTGCTTTAAGATAGAAGATTTTCCTACTTCTATATATATCTTCATGTTTGCTAGAATCATTTTGAAATACCCACTATTAGTACTAGCATTCGTTTTAAAGATAAAAAAAAAAACCTTCTTTCACTAGTTTTCATTGTAGCACATATTCGTATGTCAGATCAATCCACTCTGTTTCTTAGATGATTTAAGCAGGGAGGAAAGAGGAAAAACTCCCTTTTAAAAGAAAGAAATCTCCAGCAGAACCAGCCTTCTGCCACATCTAACTGGAGGTTCAAGGAGACAGAACCCGACATACAAAAAATACAAGCACTGATCCATAAATACTTTCCATATTAGAAAAAATAACAGTAAACTAGTTCCTAGGGACTTAAAAATAGGTCTATCGTCCCTAAGTGAAGTTTTTGGCAGCAGAAGCTCAGCTGATCCCAGCTACATGACAGACGATGCTACTATGAATGGTTTCAGTAACAAATAATGCAGAACTGGGGAATAGAAATAGAATGTTTCAGAGTGAGGAAACGTGGCCCCTATGTCTTCCAGCAGCCTAAGCCTACAACAGCATAACTATAGAGATAGCTTAGGAAAACTTGAGCCAATCTAACTCTAAGCTTATTTTTAAGGGAATTTTTGAAATATAACTAACATTTGACATAAAGTGCTTTCCCACATATTTTTCATGAGTTTCACAGTAGACTCACCTGGAGTGTTTATTGCTGAAAATATCAGTCTTATCGTTCACTGAACACAGTTATAAGTTAGTTACCATTCCAGTTGAGTAGATTAAACTCAGTGTGTTTGGAAGGAAAGAACAAGTCAGTAATCATGTTGTGTTCGTTTCCTGAACCAAAAAGACTAATATCTGTTGAACCTAAATGGCATTTTCCCCTTTATTTCCCATTAGTCATTGATTATTAGTTCAACTTTTTTATTTTCTTCAGTCCAACTGTTTTTAATATTCTTTTTTTGTTTCTGCATTTTTTTATTTTATTTTATTTATATTTCTATTTTTTCCTACTTGCTTTGATTCAGTTTTATTTTCCTGTATTTTAATCATGTAAAGCACTTTGCATTGTCTTTGTACTGAATTGTTCTATACAAATAAATTTGCCTTGCCTTGCCTTGGCTTTAGAGGGAGCTAAGAGATAGATGCTTCATTTTCCTATGGTATACATCAAAGAAAGAATTTAACTATCAACATTAAAGACAATCTGATAAATCTATAAATGGTTACATTTAAAAGAAATCCTTTTATTAAATATATTAGTCAAAAATACATTTCATAACACTAAAAAGAGGTGTCTATATATTTCTGGACCTGTAATAAAATCAGATTTTGTTTAAATGCTGTCACACATCTTTATGTTGGCCTCAGTAAAGGTGCTGTAAATCTGTCTCTCTTTCTTTTCTTTTTTTATCTAGACTTTAGCACTTCGGACATCTGCTTCAGTCCCATCGACACAGGAACATGCAGCCTCGCTCTCAAGAGATATGCATATAACCCAGAAACCAAGAGATGCCAGATGTTTGTCTACAGCGGCTGTGGAGGAAACCACAACAACTTCCATAGCCGTAAACACTGCTACCACAAGTGCATCAGGGGCAAAAAGGGTAAAGAGCAAGTTTGTTTCTTCTGAAGCAGAGGTTCATCCTCTTTTCTTAATTTTCATTGTGTTATCTCACTTGATTTTGCCGCAGGTCGCAGGAGTTGGATGATCCCAATAAGGAAGAAAAATATCAACAGAGTTCTGAACCGCTCGATCTGAACACTCAGCCCTGTGGAGCTCCAGTAGCCAAGAGGAATTTGTATTTATCTCTGTATTATAGTTTTTGTGGCCATTTTGAAATGGTCACAGCATTCAAGTCTTCATCACGTGGTTTCTGCTAAAAGTCTCCTACTAAAAAGGATCGATTTCAATCACACATATTGAAATGTTAATTTTAATACCTTTTTTTCCCTTTGATTTTTTGCTGTTTTTCTCCCAAAATGTATTGATTAATTGGACTCCACTGGACAATACTGTGCAAAACTCTCGAGCTACACCTTATGTCCTCCTTCCAAAGCAGCCAGGCTTTGCTATAATCATTAATCATCTTCATCAAATTCTAAGAAGGGTTCCTGAAGGTCTTCTGTTGCTTTGGCTGCATTTTTTATTCAGTCTTATATCATCCTACCAGTATCCTGTCACTTTAATTCAACCAATCTAATACAGAAATAATAACAGTGATCCTGGTGGGAGTTTGCTCGCTTGTATAAGGACTGGACTAGAACAGAGTAAAAAGGCACAAAGAAAGGTTTGAATGAGCCTAAAGACCTCTAACAGATCAGAGGAGAATCTGTCTATTTAGGAGGAAAAAGGAAGTTATAGGAGGTGGTTTTACTTTTGCAAGTGACTTGTTTTTAGAAACAAGATAGAAATATGCAAACAGGTCTAGAGTCTTACTTCTTTAAAACCTTAGCTCATTTTAAACCTGAAACCACTTCTGCCTTTGATCGTTTTTATTATCTATTTGCAGCAAACCAGCAGAGCTTCTTTATTTTCTCCACAACTGAAACAACACAGCTTTAAGACACATTTTGTTTAAATTCTGATCTGATCTTCCATTTTTAAAATATTTCCTCAGACTGTTCACAATTAATAATTTCACCTTTTACTGTTGTGTATGTAGTTTTAAACACAATCTCTGAAAGATTTTAAAGTCTAAATTATAACCTGAAAAAGGAAGTAAATAAATATTATTTTCTACAAATATAAAAAAAATATATAAAAGAAAACCAGCAATATTCAAAGGCATTTGGGGTTGCTTTTCATTTCACTATGTTTATCTGCAATAATAAACAATTTTTTTTAAATAAAAGAATACAGGAATACAAAAAAAGAATTAATTAATTAATTAAAACAGCAAATGTATGGAAGTCTGAACTGTTATCAATAATACTTGAGATTATTTTAAAAAGGATTCATTTTTGTGGTAAAATATGGAAAATATTTTGCAGTTGATAATTAGATGAACTCTAGGGGTTCTTGAAAAGTCATATTAAGCATTTTCCACCCCTGAATCACTTAACGTACAAAAAAAATATAAATAAATAAATAAATAAATAAATAGATATGTAATACAAATAGGTTTGGGCTTCTTGATTTTAGGTCTTTATTGAAAACTGATCCAGTGCTCTGCTTCTATAGAGGCCTAAACCTTCCTATCATTTCAGTGTAGGTGTGTTTTTGTTCTTTTCTTTTTTGCTTTGCAGGTATTTCCTTATTTTTACTGCAATTTGGTACAAAGCTGAAGCGGATATTTGTTCTATAATTTGTTGAAATATTCTCCTCTATTTCATATTTACTGATTTTTATTTTTTTTTGTCTACTTACTGTAAATGAAAAAATACTGAAATAAACTCGAACAAAAATACTTTAAAAACTGCTTTGTTGTTATTTTGTGGTTTGATTAATCACCACAAGGGGGCAGTGTGTGGTTAAGAAAGTCAGTGTAACTGCTTCTAGTCACACGTGTGGTGTTATAGTTTACACTGTCTCATATGTCAGAATTGTTTTATGCCTATAACTTATACACAATAAAAAAAAAATCTGTTTGCCTTAATTCTATTTTGTTTTTCCATTTTATGAAGTGTATGACCAGGCTATTACTGTAACATAGTGATCGATGGAGCCTTGTTCATTGAACTGTTGTCTAAAACATAAATTAAAGCAGATTACAGATAATTTGTAGACAATAAAAGAGTTGCTGCAGGATATTATGCTGAAGAATTCTAATACCTTTTAATCTATCAAACAAAAACATATTTAGGTTGTTAACAGATGCTGAAAATTGCTCCATAAACACCGATTTGCCATTTAATGCTTATTAACCTGAACTAACGTTAATCTGTTACGTAAAGTAATTTTCTGAGGTGGAAGCTACGATTTCTCACCTACTTTAAACCATTTAAGGTCATTAACAGCGGTTACAGGTTGAATGCAACAGCTGGTAATGTTTGACTTTGCTCAAAACCGTCTGGGAATCACTAGTTTAAAAAATATAATGCTTGAAAATAAAATGAGTAATATTAATAAATTCAGATTAATTTGTTTTGTCAAGTAAAAGGCCCATAACTTTCAACAGCTGTTCTAAAAAAGCAAAGTATTGTCTTGTATCAAAGCAGCTAGTTAATCTCCTTAGTAAACTCTTCAAGGGTCTGAGGAACATTTCCAATTACAACATATGCTTCTATGTAACAATGCAAGAAGTTGGTTCACTGGGTTTAAACTGGTTTGAATCAACAGTGTACTTTTTTCTGTTTCTAAATATTTTTGCAGTTGTTCTCATCCCATCAGGATTCCAGTAATTTAAAAACTAGCAGCCTCCACATGTATTTTGTTTCCACATTTTGGATCAATTTTCCATCTTTTTCTTATCGCAGTAGTTTGCAGAGGTCAGAGGTTAAACCCAAACTTACCAGTTCTTCCCATCTCATTGTTTGGGATCCCAAAGTGTCCCTGGAGAATAAGGGATTAGTTAGTTCTGTCTGTTAGTTCTGGTCTGTTCTCTGCTGGATGTGCTGGTGACTACCAAATTAGGAATCAAAATATACAGGAAGTAATTCATTAAACACCTCCATCAGCCTACGCCCCAAAACCTACTGTAAAAAAAAAAAAAAATGTTAAAGCATTTAACTTTAACAAGTTTTTAGTTGTTGAAATGGGAATAAAATGTGATTGTAGAAGGGATTGTTTCAAAAATTCTTATTAGTGTTGCACCGATACCGATACCAGTATCGGTGGGGGCCCCGATCCATTTATATTATTATTATTATATATTGTCACCCATTCCAGGTAGGCAATAAAAAGTTCTACTGGATTCACTTTGTATTATTCTTCTTCCTGCTTCATAAAGGTAGGCAGCAGCTTGACAAAGCCATGATGGTAATTATTTTACGTCCAAGTATTATGCAGTTCTTCATATACACACACAAATCAATTTCTAACAGATGCAGTGATGTTTTGAGATGGGCTGAGGCTTCGAGGCGTGTTTCGAATAATGGAGGGGGTGTTTCCGCGAGGCGTGAGGAGCCAAAATAGATGACGTCTGAAGCCTCGCTATACGCCATACCCTGTGACCGCTTTGGGAAGTGGTTCAGCTAGCCTGGAACTTCAGCAGGCATTTACACAGCCTTTGTGTTCAGTAAAGATGTGGGAGTTGTAGGAGAGTTGGATAGAGTGTTTAGAGTTTGTTTTTTCAACCAATCTAGTTGGTTAAAACTAGTTTGGTTAGATTAGACAATGTAATGATCAAAATCTGGGCAAGTCACTAATCATAGATGTTATGGGTTCAAAGTAGTATTTCTTTCTATAAGTATTTGACTTACTTGAGAAATTGACTTCAAGTCTGTGGGTTGATGGTTCAAGATCCACCTCATAGTTTTAAATGTTGCGATAAAACACAAGTATTTTCGATAATGTGACCAATTTGTATTGGTTGCCCTAGTAAAAATATAGATTGGTGGGTTTAACCAAAAGATTGGGATGAAAGACATAACTTCCAACCCGATTACAACCAAAAACTGTGGAAAAAATATGTTTAAATAAAAGTGACTAACACCTTTCTTTTTCTCATCATTGCACAGACTTTAACTGTCTGATTGAGCTTATTTTACTAAAATGGCAGAAAAACTGTGTACCTGAAATGATTTTTCTCTTCCAAGACATTTTACTCACAAAAAAAACGTACTAAAGATTTTATTATACAGACCAAACATTAACAATTTCAAATGAACTTATATGGAAAAAAAACAACAAAAAAACAAGAAAAAAAAATATTGCAAAAAATCACATCTTATATTACCATCTGTAGTTCTGCACGTCACCAGTAGGTGGTGACACGTTCACGTGAGGCTTCATGAAATGTGGGGATAATTTCAAGCAATTTGGCCAAATGTTCAAATGCCTCATGAGGCTTCATCTCACCATCACTAAACCGATGGTATCAGTATCGGTATCAGCCAATACTGCACAGCAACGTATCGGATATCGGTATCGGGGCCAAAAAAATTGCATTTTTTATACTCTAAAAGGGCCTGCAGCATTGGCTGCTAATAGCTGTTAATATGAAATAGTGTCTGGAGTTAAAACAAGACATCAGAAATGATTTCTCATGTAGAAGGAAGTTTGCAGGCCAGCAGTGACCTCTGATGAGGTTTATCCTGTGCAAGAAAACATTGAAATCCTCCCAGATTCACTTCATGACCTCTTGAGACCCAGACTGGGATCTCTGCAGGTCCAGTTTTAGGCTTTCACTATGATTTTTAGCCTTTTTGTTCATGTAATAAGACATATTTTCTAAAGTTTTCAATGAATAAAGTATGTGATGCGTTTCTGTAAGTAAAATTATTTAAAATGAGCAAGGAAGCACTTTTTGAAGTCTTTTGTCCAGACCCTTTGCTCTGGGTCAGCCCAAACATCTGCTCTGCAGGCAGCTCACGTTTCTGCATCAAACGGCCTCTCTGTATGGAAATCCGCCCAGAATAAGCCAATGTAGAGAGCGTGGGAGTGGGTGGGTGAAAGTGTCCACTCTGCTCGCAGCTCCTCAGCTGTGGGTTCTCCACTCCACTCCACTCCACGGTGATGTAACAGGAAGCAGTGGGCTGACTTCCAACGTCAAGCTGAAGCCGCCTGAGCTGCGCGCATAGAGCCGCGGAGGTCCGCTGTGTTTGGATCACCGAGCCGAGCAGGAACCGAACCGAACCCTGAGCAGAACCAGAGGACTGGAGCGCGTGCTGGATCTCTGTTTCTGGTAAGAAAAGCTGGAATGGATCAGGATTCATTTAGTCCGTTTTTGTTTTTTTTAGGGACGTTCCTGCCGATCGCTGACAGGAGTCAGTTTGGAGCAGAGAAAAAAAAACAAAAACGGTTCTGCATGTCTGAACTGAGCGCATCTGGATCCGTCCTCATTTAATCTGCATTGCTTTGCTGTCAGGAGGTGTGAGCGTGGAGGAAAATCCACGCACGGCGTGTCAAACCGTGATCACTGTATTGCAGCATGGCCACAGTCTGTGGCAGACTGCGCGTTAAAACGGTTCCAAGCGGTCGGCTTTGATATTAAATGTCCATTGATTGTCTGGAAGCAGCGCTGAGTCAGCTGCAGGATTTCTGCTGAACAATCCAGAGCTGCCATCCCTTCCACAGATTGACAAATGGCCCCCACAGAAAGCTTGAATCCCACCCAGGCTCCTTCCACTCTGATTAAACTGGAGAGCAGTGAAGCGTTCAGCTGAGCCTCCCAGTCCAGCCATCATGCTCTCTGCTTGCTAAATCATCTGCATGGTTACATAAGCAGCAGCAGCAGATTTGGACATGCTGGAAGTTTGTAGGCTGGATGATGGAGAAGAGGATGGATGGAGGTGCTGGTGCGTAGGAGGAAGGTGTGATGCTCTGGTGTTGATAAGGTGGAGGTGAAAGGTCAGAGACCAGCTCAAAGCTGAGTGCTTCTTTGGAGCAGCTTCTGATATTCTTTGCTGATTGAACTGGAAGTGCATACTGGTTGTTTCACGCTGTCTGAACCTAAAGTTAGTCCCAGTCTGGGCTGAACTCCTCGGGTCAAGCTTGATCCCACTGCGGGTTGGACTCCGTTGCGGCTGCTTCTGCTCCCTGGTTCAGTCTGTGGTTTTCAGGGATAGGAAATGTGTCTCATATTTGCTTTTGAGAATTCTGAAATCTTAAGCTTCCCCTGGAACAGTTGGGGGGAGTCATGGGTGATCCCAGGGGCCAACAGGGGCCAGTGTCTCTGTAGATATGGTAATTGCTCCTGTTGTGTCGCCTGAATCAAATACAAAATAGAGAATATGTTAATGATGAATATATTATGATATGCATCAGAGCCAGAACCGATAGGTTTCTTGGACTATTTAATATTTTTAGTTTTACAGTTTTATTTTATTTATGTTTTGCAAATGAAGTTGTTGCACTTCTAGCTTCAATCATATTGAACTGATTGTTGTTGTTTTTTCTGCTGCAGATGTCTCTTTGGTTCACTTTGTATGTCAAATAATGAACTTTCGACTTTTTCAGTTTTTAGTTATTTTGTTCGGTTTGTCCATGAAAAAGAATCGGCCCCACCCTGACCTCCCTGGTTAATTTGGTCTAGAACCACCACTGTGGGACTTTGAAGACCATGATGGGTGGACTGGTCTCCACTTAATAAGTCCTCTGCATGGTTACATAAACAACAGCAGATATGGACATGCTGGACATTGGCCATGAAAGCGGATGGTGCTAATAGTGATGGTTGTGTGTAGGAGGCGGATGTGATGCTCAGGAGTTGTTCTGATGGAGGTGAACAGAGATAACCTCCAGTCCAGAGATGACTGGAGTTCATGGCTATTTGTGTCCATGAGGGGAACTCATCACTTTGCAAAAAAAAGAAACTATAACGATGATTTACCAATTTAATATTGGTAAATTTCCATAAATTAAGACCCTCATCTGTTGCGTCTTGAGATGTTAACAAGCACTTAAAGTCAGTCTAAAGATAAGTGATCACATAAAAAAAAAAAAAAAAAAAAAATTCCTTTATTGTTCCACAACGGGGGAATTTGTTTCCTTTATTTTGACCCATTCTTTTGGGGAGCAGTTATTACTATTTGGTTATAGCTCTCATATTACAAGAGGTAAAAAAAGAAGCAAAATATGCAGCTTCATTATGCCCTCGTCTGATTGGCTGATGGATATTCTAATGTGTTCTATTAAAGCTTATCTTAATCCTTTATTATATTTAGAATAGAAATTGACTTTGTTTTCATTACACTGTGACAAGTACAGAGCAACGGAATTAACTCTCTGCATATAACCCATCCCCTTTGGGAGCAGTGTGGGTTAAGGGTCTTGCTCGGGGACCCAGAGTGGGAGTGGGGATTGAGCTAAGAACCTCTGGAACACAACATGCCCTAATCACTAGACCACCACTCCCCCTAGGTATAATTCTATAACCCCAAACATTTATTTCAATCCCTGGAAAGCAATACAGCAGCAAACTCACTCTCTCATGAGAAGAAGATAAAACTTTATGAGGACCTGCTTCTGTTGGGATACAATACCGCCCACATGCAGAACAACAGGTATGGAGGCAGGTTATGAAGGGTTTATCAGGTGCTGGGCCTCTGACTTTTCCTCATATTTAGCGTTTTTCCTTAGTTTATCTTTTCTGCATTCCATAGTCCCAATTTCATCAAGCATGAGGCTACTGCTGTCTACTATCTATTTCTATTTCAGCTTGTTACACGTTTTCCAGCTGTTTCTGTAAATTTTGCGAGAACGAGACATAGAGGATGCAGTTTCTTCCAGTTCACAAATAAAATGGCTCCTTATACATGTCGTGTTAAATGAGAGGCATTTTAGCTGTATGTTGGGATAAGATTTGGACAGCTTGGTGAAGCCAGATAGACGGGACGCCGCAGCGACCAATACAGTCTCTCTGTCACTGTTGTCTTCAGAAAAACGTCTTTTGAACATCTCTGGGTTGTGATGGGGAAACGTCCATTTTGTGACATCCAACCCGTAGAACGTGACACCGAAGTTTTACTGTCAGTGTTGGGAAAGCAGCTGTTGAATGTGGGATTGTCAACAGCAGTGCTGTTTCCAAAATATGTATTTCAATTGGATGGACCATTTCTTAAAGAGAAATATTTTAAAATGTGATGTTTACGGAAGAGAATTAGCGCCATTGGAAAATAAGTTTCAATTCTGAGAAAAAAGTAAAATTAAGAGAAAAAAATAAAGAGAAATCTAAGAAAAAACGGTGAAGTTCTTAGGAAGAAGTGAGAATTCTGTGGGAAAAAAGGTAAAAAAAAAAATAAGAATTCTGAGATCAAAATCTGAATTTTGACTTTTTTAGTGGGTTCCTTTTTTTCAATGGCCCTAATCCTTTTTATTTACATCCTGTCCAACTTTACACCCCAACCCTCTGTTTTATCATTTAAAGCTTTGGTTTGAATTTTTTTCATTAGTTTTTTCTTCTGCGTCAAGAAAAGTATAAGCTAGTTATTGTCTTTTAGTCATATTTGTATTTATTTATTTTTTTTATAAATTTAAACGTTATTTCAATGTCAACATGACTTAAATGTTTTCCACTCATTGAAAATAACCTCTTATTTAATTACAAGAGCTGCTATCTTTTAATTTGAAAATATCACACTTTTACACAATTATTTGCTGTTTATGAACCTGTTGATGGAATTTACTTCAAACAATGACTCTATGTATTAGCTAGGGCTGGGCGATATTGCTTAAAGATATATTGTTAGATTATTTTGTGATAGCACCAGAAATCTTTTCCCTTTAGGTTCATTAGAAAATTTGACGAAAAATAAATAATATATAAAAAAACATGTTTTATATGAAATATTCCTTCTCAGAGTAGACTTGTTTTACAGTTTGGAATGCTATGCAGTTGCAAACAATGAAATACAAGATATTTTCAGCCAGTGGAATTAAACACTGAGCTAGTTCAACTATTGCGGCCCAACAACTGAATTTGCTCAATTTGTATTTGTGGTAAATCATGGTGGAAAAACAACAACTCATCGCAAATGTTGACAACAATAAACATTTAGAGACATCTTATGATTTGACCCATTCATATCACAACGATCTACAGATTGTGAAAAACCCTTGAAAAGAAAATACTGTGTGCCATACGAGCCCACCTAAAATGGGACAGAAAAGCAGGTCAATGGGGAAAAACCTCTTGAAATCTAAATGGTGAAGGCATTGTGTCTGCGAGAATGAAATGGGCTTCAAACATACCAATCCTTAAGGGTTTTCTGCTTGATCTGACTGAGACTAGTGTGCTCACAGGTACTTGTGACCATTCCCAAGTACCTGTAATTGTCTTGAGATGAATATCCGCACTCTCTAAGTACTTGGTACTATCTTGAAACCTCGTCTTCTAAGTCTTGGTTTTGCGTCAGTTTCAGACATGGGAATCTTTCCTTGCCACGACCAAAGCGGCTTCACTGTCAGTTACTGTCAAATTCCTGGTTTCGTTCCAATACAATTAATGAAGCTTTCCACTCAGAGACCACAGTAGCCAAGACTTAGAAGATGATAGAGATGAAACACAAGAGCCAGAACATTCCTTAATGCAAACAAGTGGATGTTTTCCTGTATGTGGTAACACTGAGAGACAAAGAGTGAGTGTTAAGTCCTCCACCTGTTGCCTCCACTCACTCCTCCTGCTGCTAATGCTAAGTAAGCTAACACTAAGCTGGATCTTTGTTCCTTTCAGAGCTGTCTCTGTAACTTGTCTCCAGCTTGTCAAATGTATTGGACCAGTGGGATGTGATGCAAGATGGGCATTCTTTTGGATGAGATGCTGGAAACATTTGATCTGGCATTTCAACCTCATACAGAAGGCAGAGCAGACTGGTCTGGTACCAGAGGAGCTATGGTGACTGGACCTAGGTGCTGATGGGCATTGTCACAATTTGTCCTACCAGCATGGCATTGCTGATTAGCTGAACGTCTTGGTAGTGACGTCTAAAAAAAATGACATAGGAGTTACGTTTGCACAATAAAAATGAATATACACATAAACAAAGGACATTTTATGCAGCCTGCGAGCATCAGGCGTCTACAGACAATCCAAAAAAGTTTAAAAAAACGATCCACTGGACTTTGCTTCCAAGTTTGAAGACGTTTCACTTCCCATCCAGGAAGCTTTTTTGATTCAGAATGTCAGGAATAATGTTGAGTTCGAGGTTTTATAAAGTAGCCCAACAAAGCCTTGTTTTGAAAAGG